GCAAAATATCCAAATCCAGTAATTATATATTTAGCAGAACTACTGAATTTACACCAAAATATTATTTTTTAAATTGTTGACATGTTTTTTCATCAGAAACACACTGTAATAATGAATATACTGTATTTTACTGTCTGAAATACAGATAAATGTTGACTTTATGGCTTATATCTCTGCAATTACGAGACCTATCCTCCTATTATTCTTTTCACAATAGCTTCAAGTGGTGCCATTATTCAACCTCAAATGCATTATTGTCAGTTGAAAGGTCTTAAATATGTAAGATTAATTTGGCAAGTGTGTGGAGCCAGTCCCTAACAAATAAAAAGGTTCAACACTGGTGGATCATAAGTTTGGATACTACAAACAATTAATTAATATTCCCTGAGGGGTAACGCTAACTACAGGCTCTGCTATACAAGTGAGATTTTGATCTCTATGTTATCACAATCTGTCCATAAAGAGTGTAAAACGTGTGCTTAAACATGTCTCTCATGTAAAATTACAGTCACAAGCTAGCTAGCGTTTTTTTAGTTTTGTTGAAAATCAAACACATGAACACTTATATTGATCACATACACCTTGTATTTTGTTCTTTGAGTTTTCAGACAGTCTAAAAACTAGTTATATGGGGCCCTGCAAGCCATCTGAAATTATGACATGCAACCTGCTGTTGTTGTCAACATGGGAGCACTATCTGTGATTTCCTACCTGCTCTGTTGATTCTACTGCCCCCTGGCTCCACCCCCTCTGAAGAGTCTGGGCCAGAGAAGACACAGCACTGGCTCTCACATAGCTCTCCTGGTCCTCCAGCGCCTCCCTGAGCAGGGAGAGAGTACTATACTCGTCCAGCAGTAGGAGGCTCTGAGAGGGAACTGAAGACGAGAGAGCTAAGGCAGCCTGTTGTCCCAAAAACTCCACCGTAGAGTCCCTGACCTCCCAGCGCAGGTCACACACGCGCTTCTGCACCACCTGTAGCAGATCTGACACAGAAATGTCCGTGTGAACATTCATGTTTATCAGAAACACTACAGACACTGACGGTAAAGTAAAACTGACTTTTTGGAGCTTTCGCTTTCCTTTGTCAAAAACACACCTGAAGTGGGTTTATATGTCATCCATTTTTCAGTAATCTTTTATTGGCACTACTCAAGCCCTCATTATATTTAGCAGTACAGGCCCATGTCTCTTGTTCAATGCTCAGCCCACAAGCCTAAAAACAAAAGTGAAACTAATAAAAACATTTTTTTTGTTTTTGGCAAATATAACCTTTTCAAAACAATAAAAGGTAACATGGTGTTAATACCATGATGATAACAAAAAGACTCTTTATTTAGACAATAGAATGTGATAGAATTCACCACTAAATCATAGCACTTTCTTTTATATTACCATGTGGTCTTATAACTGTTTTATTTCTGTTGTCCAGTTAAGTTCTATACTGGTTCATGGGCATATACTAGTCTGTGTGCTCTTATACTTGTTCAAGATCATTCTGAAGCTATTCACGAAAGGTTAATTTCTATCCTGTGAATGTGTCTTTTTTAGTATTGATAGTTATTCAAATGAGTGTCTAGTTAAGTTTTTAATATTGATTTGTTTATTGATACTACTACTACTTCAGTAATAAACAATTTTACGCAATTTTACGCTTTTTAAGTGGTAAAGAATGCAAAATTCTGGCGTGTAGAGTGTAGAATATTACTCTGAAGACATTCCACTGATAGCCAGAGATTGTCTGTTAATACATCCGTTTATGGAGTGAATAAATAAAGATCTATAAAGCGTCTTTGTGACATATGTCTGTGAAAAGCACTATATAAAAATAAAAACTTACTAACTTAGTTAAAAAAATATGACCTGTGTAGTGACTTTTAGTTGAATGTTCTCCAAAGTGTTGTATGTATGTACCTTGTGTGAGCTGCTGTGACATCCAGGACAGGTCTGTACAAACACTGGTCCACTTGAGTACTGCCTGGTAACACTTGTGTAGCACCTGGAGAACACACAACACACAGTGACATTCATCTCGACAAACGGTGAAATCAGACATCTTCAATCTTCAGAATAAGGTTCAAACTTACAATGGGGTCACAATCTGGATGATCTAAATACAGGAGGAGAACTGTGAACACCTCATTCAATTTGTCCCGGGCACCTAAAAAGAAATGCTATTTATATTATATATTATATTTGAGCCCTACATATGTTGCTTTTTTGTCAAAATAAAACCATGCTTTTGCATTATGGAAAAAATACAGAAAAACATGCATTCCTGCTCTGAGCGTGATTGCATCTCCATAAACCTGACTTATAATTGCCATGTATCAGGGCCTCATCCATTGTTGTTTCTTTGGCTATAATACTCCACTGGATTGCATAAAAAGTAAGTATGCTTTTACTTCAGACAGCTTAGGAAAATACTTTGAAACATTCTCTTAAGTTCATTCTCTTAAATGTGTGAATCACAAAAATACTTTCAAAAATCTGTGTTAATAAGCTCCGAATGAACCCTCTATTACTTAAGGTGCATGGAGATGTGACTACTTTTCCTGCAATATTAGTATCTATTTCCACGGTGACAAGCAGGTGATGCCATCAAATTGAGTTGTAGGGAAGATTTATGGAGAAGCAAGCCAACTCACAGTAAGGATGCATGTTTGTTTTAACCTATTTTGAGCAATCAAATGATTTGTGGAACACTCCAGGCAAAGCATTAAAATGTCCATGAAGATAAGCAGGTGGTGGACGCAGGCCATCTTGAAGTTGCATAATGTTGCTTTAAACATTCACAAATACTGAGTATATTCAAGGGATATTTTCTATTTAACAAGGATGAAGCATTACAGCATACATAGGTGTGTGTTTTTAGCAGTTTTACCTGAGCATTGGCTAACAGCAGTCAGAGCTTCCAGAGCACATTTATGAATTTTTCCATTTCCAAAAAGGTATCTGATCACGTCAGCACAATCAGGGGAGGTCACAGTTCCCCCTATGGACATGTGCAGCAAGGACACTACAGTAGAGACTATCCCAGCAGGTGGACAGGGCAGAAAGTTGCCAGGCTAGAAAAGATAAAAAAACACATTTAATAATTCCACATTCCAAAATCAGAAATAAAAAGAGTTACCCACTGTAACAAAATTCACGTACCAGGATATAAAAATTATTACATACTATAATGTAAACATTTATAATCCAATCTAATACCACAAAATGATGGCATCTCTTTTCTGCATTGTTTCTTTACTTACTAGAATTGTAATCTGATGAAGGTTTGCTACACACATGCAGATCAGTGAGGTGAAAGAGGATTTATTATTTCGAAGTTCCTCTTTGATTTCACCTATGGCAAAGGGAAAATATTTAAAAGAATTATATGTAGATTACATAGAGAATAAATACTGTACTGTACTAACATTCTGCCTATTCAATGCAATTACAATTTTAATATCTTTAATACAATGAGTTTGTTATGTGTGTCACATACCTCCTGCATCTGAGCAAAGTGCAGAATGCCCGGTTAAGATATCAAGTGGCAGTAGTAATATTTTCACTGCTTTTGGAGTATGGACTGGATCACTAAAAAGAAAATCATTACATTATATAATTATATTTTGATTAAAAAATACATAAAATATTAAAATTACATTTTAAAATAGTATTCCAATACAAGTATGTTTCAACATAAAGGCATATTTCCTTAATTAGAATCATTAAAATCAATATTTAAAGAGGGGGTATTACACTTCTATGAGGTATTAACTTCTGACAGGTTACATATTTAGATCAATGTTGATTGTCTGAAAATGCCAATTCTATATTCGTGGAAAACAATGTGTTAAAGTCACTTCCCCTTCAGAGAGCTATTCCAAGAGTGCATTTCGCTAATGAAACTACTGCACATCACACCAACTTTGTCAAGTTGTGTATTGTTTTGTGTCTTGTCTTTGTATATCCATGGCAAATTGCTGTGTGGAAGAATGGGTGACGGAGGCTTGGAGAAATCAATAAATTACTCAAAATGACAAATAAAACCTATTCAAGCATGTTTTTGATGGGGGAACAATGTTATAACATGGCAGCAAGCTCCAAAAAGATGATGTTGCATAATACCTCCTCTTTAAATTAAATCATAGGTTTCACCCCTAGCCTGGCTTCAGAATGAAAACAAAGGGACTATTATTGTCCTTAGCATCTTTGCTTAATAACTCTACTCAAAGTTTGCTTTACATCCAGTGTACACAGTCTATAGCACAAAACAGTCTATTTGTTCTTGCCATAAGCCTTTGTGCAGAAGAGCAGCTGCAGCCCGGATGCGCTGTGTTGGCTGTCCCACCTCCAGCATGGCACACAGGAGACCACTAGCACGTTGGTCACCAGAGGAGAAGGTACTAAACAAAATAGACTTGTTTTAAGTTAACGTTACACATGCCCTGATGTTTGATCATTGTAGCATACATGCATACTTCCGCCTTCATATTGTACGAGTTGTAAATTATTTAGCAGTGTTTTTAGTGCGTGCTAGAGTTTTGAACAGTTCCTGCACCATCTGCTGGTAACAGTGGAGAGTGTTAACACCTCAGCATTTGTATTTCATGCTGTCCAACTTCAAAATTGTATATTTAAGGAAAATTCTCTAAAAATACCCCTCAATCTGCAATAAAAATGGTGCAAGATCTCCACTTGCTGGCCCATTTTAGGTGAGGCAATCCAAAAAAGCAAATGCAAATTAATTAATTGGCTATGTTTACATGCAGACTAAACCTCTGATCATTCTCTGATTTCTGGAGTTATCACATTATTGAAATGTTGTGTAAATGGCATGTTAACGGTTTCATCTTATGTTAGCAATCATTTTCATATGGCCTGTGTATCTCATTAACGTACCTATTTGCAGCTAGAAGGACCTCCATCAGTGGCACTGTGAGTTGGCTGTTCTCTGCATAAACCAGATCTTCCAAGGGACCACCAACTGCCTCGAACACCTTACCCCACAGAGGAGCACCAGCCTGGGACAAGATCTGAGCGATGAGCCTTAGGAGCTGTACACTCTGCTGGAGCTGTTTCTGTTCTTTACGAAGCAGTGATTCTTTTAGATATTCACATACACTCATTACAGCTGCATTATATGGTGTACTGATTGACAGGGTTGATGGATGTGTCTCTTCATATGAGTGGTCTTTGCCGTTTGTTATTGGAGATTCAGGCTGGTAGAATAGCAGGACGTGTGCTAGAAGCTGACTGGCTGAAGAGGCCACAAATAAACTTGAGTCCATTTGCAGGAGTAAAAGATGGCTCATCAAGTCTAAAAAAAAAAGGTAAAGAAGTGGTTATAACAGCAGTGGAATATGAAAACATTAACATTAAATAGTTACAGTTCTGAATTCTAAAAAATGCACTATAATCATATACTTTGCTTTGATAGTATACTACTGCCAATTTGTACTTTGTGGGCAACAGTGAGTCAGAGCTTAGAGCACTTGTTCACCAGCAACTTGCAAGACACTTCACCCACTTTGTCAAATAAGAATGTGGTGTGCATGTTGGTGGTGGTTGGAAGGGCCGATGGCACAGATACAGATTTGCAACCTTGCTTCTGTCACTCTGCCCCAGAGCAGCTGCAGTGTCCACTGTCAAATGTGGAATGAATGAATAATTGCTAGATCTTTATTATTAGTGACCTCCCTGATCACCAGTTTATCCACTTTAAACCCTAACCTATTTAACACATATCTTAAGTTTAAATCATCCAATCAAAATAGGATCTACTGTATGTCACAAAGACCAAATTTTGTCCCCATGATGAATTGAAGGTATATTGAGATTTTAGTTCTTACTAAGTGATAAATACCTGCCAACGCAAGCACAGAAAGCTAGAAAGTAACCCTACAAGCTTCTAAAAATAAATATTTGTCCTGAGTGTGGAGGAATATTGTGATTGTTGGATCTTTATCCTTAATATTTTTCCACATTAAATATCCCTAGTTCTAACCAGCAGGGAAAAAAATTAATTGTATGCACTAGATTCAATATATTAAAAAAACGTGAAGTCCCAGTCCTTGAATAAAATAAAATTAAAGTTGAATGAAACACATTGTCCAATCTGTTCTAAAATAATCACCTGAGTGTATGAAAAAGCTCAGAGCCCTTGGGTGCTGCATCATGTTCTTCAGGCCATGAACCCAGCCGCTCCTGACAGAGGGGTCCTCCCAGAGCGCTTCCTCCTGCCATCGCTGTACTCTGAACACCTCATCCAGAGTTGCCTTCTCCTGTGGAAAAGATATACTTATAACATACGTATAATACATAGACAACAGCATTTTCAAGAATTTATTATGTAATGTGGAAAGAGAAGAGCCCAGTACCTGTAGTATGTGAAAGCCCTCCACAGAGGCAGCCATGACACCAGTCAGCTTGATCATAAAACAGATGATAGCAGGGTCTGACGTTGTGTTGTGAGTGACTGCTGGTATGAACTCCAGCAGACATGGGAAGGACTCATGAAGAGAAGTGCCTGAAATAAAATTGATCTCTGAAGATAAGCAAGGCTGGGCCTGGTTAGTAATGAATGGGAGAGGTTTGAATACCAGGTGCAAAAGTGGAACAGTAGGGGTTCTAGTCTAGTGTATACTGTTGTTGTGTCCTTAGGAAAGTCACTTCATCTACATTGCCCAGTATAAATGTGATGTGTGTGTGTGAGTATTGGAGGTGGTTGGAGAGGCCAATGGCATTGGCAGCCTCACTTCTGTCAGCCTCAGGGTAGCTGTGGCTACAGTAGAAGCTTACTACTACTGTATGAATGAATGATTAATGAATAATGCACAAATATACATATACATACATACATACATATACATATACATATATTTGGTGCATGGTGCAGGTGCAAATGTAACTTTGTCGGTGCGTTTCCACCACCTGCTCATCTTCAAGATGTTATTGTTTTGCCCTAAATGTTCCACAGTATGGCATTAAATGTCGATATCTGGAGAGGAGACAAGCAGGTGATACAAACAGGCCAAAGTTAGAGGTCAGATCTATGAAGAGGAGAGCCCACTCACAAGAAAGCAAGTTTATTTTTTATTTTGCATTTTTTGCAATAACAAGTGTAACAGAATAAATGTAGGAAGAGAAGTTTCATGCCTAAAGCACAGTGTGTGCAAACAGGTGGTATGCACCTTTAAAATATGTATTATGGACATAAAAAACTTTAAGGTTGCACTAACCAGCTTGGGAAAGTTGAGTGAACCAGTCCAGCAGTTTCTCCAGGCTGGTGTCATCGGGCAGACAGCTCCCTGAGGCCGCCAGCAGTTCACACACTCGGGGCAGCAGCGACACGCACTCCCGGTCCCGATCCAAGGAACAGCTGTCAGGGCGGTGGGACCGTGGAAGAGAGGCGCTTGGGTGCATTTTACTTTTTATAAAATCGTCATAAATTGTTGTGTTTAGAGAGTTCAAACAGGTCCATGTAAACCTAAAGTTATGTTTTGGTGTTACTTATAAGCAATTATTAGAAAACGACATTCAAAATATTAGTAATTTGGGGATTTTTGTGCACTTGCTTAACAGATGCCGCGGGAAAGCAGTCGTTCCGTTTCATGTTCCGTTTTACCGGCGCGTGGCTTCCGTCTGTTCTTCTTCGCGCGTTGCCTCTCTATGCCTTTTGTAGACCTATAAACACACGGATAACTACAGCCCCATTGGTGAAACTGTAGCCTGACTGTATCCAGACCATCTACAAATGTCTAAATTCCCCCACAGCGCCACCAACAGTCTGAATGCGGTTTCCGGTCGGCGTTTCCGTCACTTCGTCCATTTTCACGTTTTCGCACATGGTGCCGCACCGGCCGCCGCCAGCCACCCTCTTCATTTTCAGGATTGTGCTCCGTTTGAGCTAGAATCCGGTATCGTAGTGTGTTAAATGCGCAGTACGGTTGATATGGTGGACGACCCCGATTATGAAGAGGAGGAACCTTCCTTCAGCGACCCGGAGGACTTTGTGGATGACATCGAGGATGAGGGTGAGCGCCCATAGGAAAGACCCCGGCTTTATGGCCTAGTGTAGGACGAGCTAAAGCGCTAACGGTACAGGATAGATTCATGGTGCTCCACTATCAAGGATGCTACAGAGAGAGGACCTCGCCAGCATTTACTTTGCCTATTAGAAATCTAATTGTTTTGATTAAAGAAAAAAAATAATAATAACGCTAAATCATTATCCTTTATCAGCTTGTCACCAACGTTTTTCTAAAGCCGATAAGTAACGACTTTTTTGTAACCTCACCCTTTCCAGATGCCCTCCTATTGAACATATGACATGAAATATAACATAGAAAAGAGTACAAAGGTATTATATAGCATGTTAGCAACCTAAATGTGTCACAATATAGCCGACTGCAACAATACAACTTTCAAGTGGTCAGTTTGCAGTTCGTTTCATTCATTCCAGATGATCCCATTGTTGTTGTACCAACCCAACACCATTGCCCACCTGTCTTTAATCATAATATTAAAACACTGGTGTTATTACTAAACTCAAACTAGTGCATAGATTCCCTTAAAAAGTAATTATTTGTTTTTGTGGATTGTGTAACCTGTTGTGGTTAGAGTATGTTGAAAGGAACCTCTTCTGCCAGAACTGCACTAAGGTTTAACTTAATAGCACTGTTGCAAAACAAGCATTATACATTTATGCTAGGTCTGCATAATTTGAGAAATATAAGATTGCTTAAAAAGTAATCGATACAAACACTCCCAAGTACAGTATGTAATGTACCCATCTGAACAAGTATCAGTACTGAAAAAAATCTAATACATAGGACAATATTTGATCTTTCCTGAATAGTTTTAGAATGGTCTAGTCTTTATCAGAATTTATATAAGTACATTATTAAAGTAACATTATTATTCTGTGTCAGAAATTATGGATCAAGACTTGGATTGGACATGGTCTAGTCCATGTTTAGTGTAGATTAGTCCCAATTATATTCTCAATTATAATCATACAAACAAAAACATGAAGCAAGTAGCAAATGTCATTTCAGTGGCAAAGAAACTATGCAATTAGCCACATTCAGCCCAAGTTCACTTGATTACTAGGCAAGCTGTGTCAAGATTAGGGCTGCAAGATGAATCACAGTTGCAATTTAAAAGGAAGCAATTGGCAGGTTGCAAAGGTTGCCATTTTTGAAGTATCATATTTTCCTCCAACAACAAAACATCTTGCCTTATTCTGCATAAAAAACTGCTAATCCTGTAGGTTAGATCTGTAGAAGCATGCTCTGAAATGTGACTCTTGTATAAGTTTTTTTTTTAAACAGAATCCTATTATTAGAACATAAATCATAAATATAATGGCAACCACAATCCTTGCGAGCAAATACACAATTTGGTATTTTTCCCAAATTGTGCAGCCCTAATACCCTAGGTTAGACCTATATTTCATTTTCACTTATGGCTTAACAGCATTTTAGATCAAAAACATTTTCATTTCAAGCTTTAGAATGTCTGCAACGTCACCTGCAATGTTACTTTTGTTGCGATGTGGATCAAGTCAACGAATTGTTTTAACGACAGCTTTGCACTGCAAAGAATCTGCAGCCCTATTTGATACCTCATGCCCCATAATGGCTACAAAACACATATTTCATTATATATTGTTCTTTTGTCCTGTTTTTTCTGCAGAGCTCCTGTCTGACATCCTGAGGGAAAAGCCCCAGGAGGCAGATGGCATTGACTCCATGGTGGTGGTGGACAATGTGCCACAGGTTGGCCCAGAAAGGCTGGAGAAACTCAAGAATGTTATCCACAAAATCTTCTCTAAGTTTGGCAAGATCACCACCGAGTTCTACCCAGAGGCAGAGGGCACCACCAAAGGGTAGGCTTGGTTCAAAAATACAAGTTTCAGATTTTTTTTTGTAATTTGATGATTTTGGTCACATTTGTAAAGCTTTTAATATGGTTGCTCAAATATCAGAAAATTTTTGTTTTACAGCTGCATAAATTTTGACGTTGGTCAGCGCATTCATTGTAATCTCGTTTAAAGGGCTCCTATTACACTGTAACAAAGATGAGAAAATGGTGCATCTGTACTGGGCCAACAGATCAAGTATAGCCCCTTTAAACGGACTGAACCATCATCCTTTTGGTGTTAGTGGGCCGATGTCTCATTATACTCTAAGGTGAACATTCTTTTTGCTTTCAGGTACATCTTCCTGGAGTATGCATCTCCTAACCAGGCCATGGAGGCAGTGAAGAATGCAGATGGCTACAAACTGGATAAGCAGCATACGTTTCGAGTCAACCTGTTCACTGACTTTGACAAGTGAGTCTGCACATAGTAAAAATGTATTCTAGATGTAAACACAACTGACAAACGTGTGTTTGTTTGTTTGTGTGTTTGTGTGTTTGTGTTTGTTTCCAGGTACATGAATATCAGTGATGAGTGGGAGACTCCAGAAAAGCAGCCTTTCAAAGACTTTGTGAGTTCATTAAAGAAAAGCAATGCTTTTCTCAGCTGTTTAGTAATGCGTGACACCCGTGGATGATTATTTTTTTATTTTATACATTTTAAATCCCACTACTGATCTAAAACGACAGCTGAACCTTGCCTATGGATGGCTACAGTTCACAATAGAGAGCAGTGTGGTTTTTTCCCATTTGTGCCAAAATGGCTAAATGATACTGCACAAGTGTATCCCTTTAAGAACAAAAACATAAAAAAAAAAAAAGGAGAACAAAGTAAGTAAAGCATAAAGGACATGTATCTGGGTTAAAAACATGCATGAATCACTCTGAATACAACTTTGAGTGGGTAAATAAGATGGGGACACTAATTACAACATGTTAAAAAAAAGTCTTTTACCTAATGTTTCCTTTTGGACACAGCAAGTTCAGTTAAATAAAATCAAAACATTAAAACGCATATCTTAAACCAAACTGTGTGGAAAAAAAAACAAAATCTAAACTTACCAGACTAAACCACAATGAAAACTGGACTGGACTCAAGAGTTTTATTTATCCTTTTATGTCACAGGGTAACATGCGCCACTGGATTGAAGACCCAGACTGCCGTGACCAGTACAGTGTGATCTACGAAGCTGGAGAGAGGACGGCCATTTTCTCCAACGATGCCAAAGAGCCCATCCTCGCTGAAGAAAGAGCGGTACATATAAGACCATACAGAATACTTGTACTGCAAAAATAATGGAATAGTACTGATTTGTGCGTATGTGTTGTAGCGCTGGACAGAGACATATGTGCGCTGGTCTCCCAAAGGCACGTACCTGGCCACGTTCCACCAGCGCGGCATCGCTCTGTGGGGAGGAGAGAAGTTTAAACAGATCCAGAGGTTCAGCCACCAGGGGGTGTCCCTCATCGACTTTTCACCATGTGAGAGGTGAGTATGTCTTAGTACAACTCACTATAAGAATTTAGTTTGAAATATTTGGGATTAAAAACATGTATCATCCATCAGAAATTATCCTATAATAAGAAAATAATATAGTTTTTGGTTAATGACAATAACAAATTTAGCTAATATTTAGATTTTGTTAGGTTTTTAACCTTTTTTTTTTCCACGAACTATTTAACTTGAATCAAAACTGGAACCAAATAGACCCTGGGTAACACATTGTATTTGATATTTATTTTCAAAGAGAACAAGCTGTAGGGCTGGGTTGGGTGTAATGCCAAAATATTTAAGATTATTTTTTTTTGTCCTCATTGATTTTCTTTTGTTTTCTTTAAAACAATTCAAATTATTTTCAAAATGAAGTATGAATGAATGAATATATACATTAAAGTCTGAACCCTGATGATTGATAATTTAAAAATTATTATACAGCCCTATTAGACAGTGGTGACAGTGTGAATGCTTTTTGTGCAGGTACGTGGTGACCTTTAGCCCCCTGATGGATACAAAGGAGGACCCCCAGGCCATCATTATCTGGGACATCCTGACGGGACAGAAGAAGAGAGGCTTCCACTGTGAAAGCTCCGCACACTGGCCCATCTTCAAGTCAGTGTCACAAAAACAACTGACAGACACAAACATCTTTTAGATTGTGTAGAAGTGAGCTTCACTTGACTGTTTTGTTTCAGATGGAGCCATGATGGGAAATTCTTTGCCAGAATGACCCCAGACACATTGAGCATCTATGAGACTCCAGTGAGTACAATACAGTTTGCATCAGATCACAAATTTAAATGTCTGTTGCCGAAATATATGCATTTATAGCTAGAATGAATGAATTGATATATGGGTAGGATGGTGTCAAAGCTGCTGCTAAACTACATAATTTCTTAAGTCCAGTTTTACTAGCCTAAATTGCCTAACAATAGTGATTTCTTTTTTTCAGTCAATGGGCCTGCTCGACAAGAAGAGTCTGAAGATTACTGGTATCAAGTAAGTCCTTTTTGGTGTATGTTATTATGAAATTCAACTGAGGCTTGGGAATTAAATGGGCAAAAATTACGTTCTTCAAACTTGAATTAGGAAATGCAAAACACTATAAAGTATTTACTTGGTATTTCAGCTTCATATTTTAGATTAGAATTTTATGGTTGTTTTTTCTTGGCACAAACAAAAAAAATGGTTGTAACATTTTTGGAGTGTGGGCACTATAGTAGTTTTACTGTGATCAAACTCGCATGTCCACAGGTCTGACCTCTTACTTGATCTAGTGGAGTATAAGGCCTTGATAAGTATAGTGTGTTACTGTTATACCACCAGTTATATAATAAAGGTTCCGGTAGACCTCTTGTCCTTCTTCAGTGGCATTAGGAAGTGTAGCAGCACCCAGCCCTAATCCAGCCTGACCTTTTCCCTCTGTAGGGACTTCTCCTGGTCTCCCGGTGACAACATCATTGCCTTCTGGGTCCCCGAGGACAAAGACATCCCAGCCCGAGTGACCCTAATGCAGATGCCCTCCCGTCAGGAGATCAGGGTGAGGAACCTGTTCAACGTGGTGGACTGTAAGCTGCACTGGCAGAGGAACGGAGACTACCTGTGCGTCAAGGTGGACCGTACACCCAAAGGCACACAGGTGAATACACACTCACTGTACTATATAAAAGCAAATGAGAAGTGTAGAGAAAATACTTAAATGACTCTTGTATTGTTCAGGGCGTGGTCACCAACTTCGAAATCTTCCGTATGAGGGAGAAGCAGGTTCCTGTTGATGTGGTGGAGATGAAGGGTGAGTATCAAAAAAGGCGTCTTAATAATGTACTTTACAATCGGAATGGGAATCGCTTCCATTGGGCTCCACAGTTTTCCTACTCGTAATTCAGCTGACATATTTCTTTTAAGATTTTGTAGGAAATTAATGAAAATTGTACTTTTTATACCAAACACAAGTGGGTGCTGTTGTACTTACAGAATTAAACACTGACTTTTCAGTTGATTCTCCTGTTTACCTGTTTGTCAAAAGAACAGAATTGAGTCTTTGCCTTGTTTGTGCAGAGAGCATCATAGCTTTTGCTTGGGAGCCCAATGGCAGTAAGTTTGCAGTTCTCCACGGAGAGTCTCCGAGAATCAACGCGTCCTTCTACCACGTCAAAAACAATGGCAAGATCGAGCTTACGAGTAAGTTTGACTCTGTTCCTCTTCTTTTAAAAAATACTTTCAATTATATACACTTTAATTATATTGGCACATTTAGAGATGTCAGATCAAATGGTTTTATTCATTTGAATATTTTTTATGATAATTATAACTAGGGTTGGGCAATATGGTGATAATTATCATAGTAATAACATTGTGATCCCGTTTCTTTGACAGTTCATTATTTCTATATTTAATGCATCTGTCTGCACACTCACTTCTCCTATTGGTCAGCCTCTGGCTCTTTGAGTGAGTGACAGCTGGATGTAGCCCATCACCATCGAGTGTGAATTTCAGAAGAAGCAGATTAATTCATTTACTTCTTAAAGACAAAAAAGAAATATAAAGTTTATATGACTCATGATAAAATCATGACCTGAAACCAAGGTTATCATCATGTTCATGTTTCGCTATATTGCCCACTTCTAATTGTATCTTATATCAGCAGCCAAAGCCAATCAATGTAACTTTCAGCATTTACCTAAATTTCCTTTCATTTTTATGTTTACATTTTCAATAGGTGTGATTGTGTGTTTTTGTTTCTTCTGACTAACTTTTTTTTCCATGCATTTTTTTGCTTTTCAGAAATGTTTGACAAGCAGCAGGCTAACAGCATCTTCTGGAGCCCTCAGGGACAGTTCATGGTTTTGGCTGGACTACGCAGGTCAGTGTTGGTGCAGACTATGATGATAAACTCTATGTATTTTTCCTGACACCTCATATGAGCTCTGCATTGATTCTACTGCATGTCAGAGGCTTTCTGTTTTAATATGTGTTGTATGTTTAGTTTCTATGTGAGATTGATGGTTGTATTGCTTGTGGCAGTATGAACGGAGCACTGGCCTTTGTGGACACTTCAGATTGCACCATGAACATAGCGGAGCACTACATGGCCTCAGACGTGGAGTGGGACCCCACAGGCAGATACGTGGTCACCTCTGTGTCCTGGTGGAGTCATAAGGTACATGCAGTATACACTATACAGACATGGACAAAATTGTTGGTACCCCTCTGGCAATGAAAGAAAAATCATCAATAATCACTGAAATAACTTGAAACTAAATTGAAATTTTTCAACAAAAAGCAAACATTGTGGGATGGATGGTGCGATCTGACACTGATATACCTTGCCCTTCGAGTTCCCATTTAATTTGTTTGGAGGTTGTTCTGGGCTCTTTGGTTACCATTCGTATGATCCATCTCTTCAATTTGTCATCAATTTTCCTCTTGCAGCCACATCCAGGGAGGTTGGCTACAGTCCTGTGGACGTTAAACTTCTGAATAACGTGTAACTGTGATCACAGGAACATCACACCGCTTAGAGATGGTCTTATTGTCTTTATCTTTAACCTGTTAGTGTCATGACACAGTTCTCCTCTTCTCTTTCTCTGGTCCATATTCAGTATTGTATCCATCATGTCTCCAAACAGCACAATGACACACGTCACCCTTTAAACAGGCAGACTGACTGAGTATAAGTTTGAAGACACCTGTGATGCAGATTAGAGGACACACCGAGGTTTGACATGTGTCTACTGATCAGTTACTTAATTTTTTTCTAGGGATACAATCATTTTTGTTCAGGCTAATTTCATTAGTTTTTTTGTTTTTTTAACAATTCAACAGTGTCTGATTTTCATTGGTTATTTGTCAGGAATTTTTTATTTATTATTGCTTTTTTCTCAGTTTCAAGTTATTTCAGTGACCATTGTTGATTTTTCTTTCCTTACCAGAGGGGTACCAACAATTTTGTCCACATATGTGTTCGCACTTGTGTCACACCAGCGCTTATTGCGTTCTAAACTAATCTGGTGTCATTTTTCCACTTGATGATACACCCCCTGCTTGACTTCATGGAGATGTTAGATAAAAGAAACAATTTCATTAAACAGCCCCAACATTTAATTGCCAGTTTCCCATGCATGTGTTCCCATGTGCATTCTATGGCCAAATTTGTGGAACATTATTTCTGTTGCTTTCTGTTGTTTTTTTTGTTTTTTTTTAACAAAACAATCTAAACAATTCCATATTCCTTCAAACATGCTTCTTGTGGTATAATTGTGGTAGACACATTAAAGTCAAACCTGTCATGCTTGTTGCTGTAGGTGGACAATGCATACTGGCTGTGGACGTTCCAGGGCCGCCTCCTCCAGAAGAACAACAAGGACCGCTTCTGTCAGCTGCTGTGGAGGCCCCGCCCACCATCTCTGCTCAGCGCTGACCAAATCAAGGTATGTCAACACTACACATGAATCTAAACATCATTTGCATTTAGTATAGCAACATGGACACAAGCCATGAATGTCATTTTCACCGAAACATGTTTCTCTTCTCTGCAGAATATTAAGAAAGATCTCAAGAAATACTCAAAGATCTTTGAACAGAAGGATCGCCTGAGCCAGTCCAAGGCTTCTAAGGTCAGTCTCTGTCCGCCGTGCTTCTCATGCACTGAAAGTTGAAAATATAAGATGAAATATAAATGTATGTGGTTGTGTTGTACGAGTAGGAGCTGGTGGACAAGCGCAGAGCCATGATGGAGGACTACCGGCGGTACAGAGAGGCAGCACAGGCCACCTACCAGGAGCAGAAGAGTCTGCGCCTGGAGCTCAGAGGAGGTGGGACTGTCTATTTCTCCAAATTACACTTTTTTAGTTATATGCAATATCAAAATAACACTAACAACATGATGGGGTTTTAACCAGAAAGCTGCAAATTGACAGAGTTTGCTATAAAGTCGTTAAAAATGACTAAAACTGTGGATAATATTAAAACACCATATACACAGTTTAGTAGTGAAGGTGGGTTTAGTGTTGAGTTCCACTTTCATTTTACACTACAAATCCAAACTTGTATAAAGATTACTAATAACTTACGCCTAGGCCAGTCACTATAATTACTATATCGAGTTATTGTTAAATACATGAAAGCATGATAGATGAAACTATATTTTTTTGGGGTCAATATTTATCATGGGAACTTTTTCTTTGTTCTAGTGTGGAACCTTTAGTTATTCTTCTGTACTATGATTAGAGTTGAGCTGTAGAGGGTTGAATAAATAACTCATTTATAGGTACAAAATAACCAGTAAATTGTTTCATTCTCCTGTTTGTTTATTGCAGTTTTTATCTTTTTATTCCCTACATTTTCTTCAGCTATATTGTGCTTCAAAATTTGTTACCATGGCGTGCCTACTTCTGCCACACCAAAGAAACTAAATGCTATTGACTTTTTACTATGGAAAAAAATAATAATTTGGTTCCTCAATGTCGGGAAAAAGTAACTGGGTAGTTACAGTAGTAGTAGTCCATTGCGAGTTAGGATTAAGTTTTGCTGATAAAATAACACAAGTGGTTTGGTAGAATTTATTATCATTACTCATTGCTATTTTACATTCTGATATATTTACAAATTCCTAGAACATGATTTCAAGAATCTTTTACAGACCTGTTAAGGGAGCTGTAACTGATTTTTACTGTCTTATACCATTCACCTTGATAATATTTTATCAATGCCATGCAAATAACTAGCATGCTAACAGTACAGTATAGCCTTACTTCCTGATTTTCTGAATATAAAAATGCTTTATAATTATTAGGAGACAGCACACAGCACTCACGTTCTAACCCCTTTACAATATGTACAATAAAAACCTTTTAATGATTATCGGTAATTTTTATGAATAAATCAGTAGACTTGACGGTCTGTTTTTAAAAAAGGTTTTTTAAAAATGCTGTTGCTTCCAGGCGTGGATACAGATGAGCTGGATAGCAACGTGGACGACTGGGAAGAGGAGACCATTGAATTTTTTATCAACGAAGAAATCATTCCTCTTGGAGATCTGTAGTCCCATACGCAGGTAAGCAATAAACTATATGCATTAAATTAAACACAAAATGGATTTCTGAACTTTTGTGTTGACTTACGTTTCAGTCCATCTGTTGTTGTGTGGAAACGTGGAGAGGAGTCATTGATTGGAGGACGACGACCACCATTGTGAATCTAGAGGTTTCTACCAAGGAGCCTCTTCATTCAACTGACATCATCAAAGTGCGCCTTGCGGATCGACAGCCACTCGGAGGGACAGTCTCTCCCCACCATCCGCTCTTTTTCTCTCTCTGAACTTTAGTAACAAACTGCCTAATTTTTCTACTGAATTGGATCCACCGCTGTGTCGTCCGGACTTGTTTCCAGTGGGGCTGCCCATGAACTAGCCTCGTCATGCTAGCGCATCATTGCAGGACAGAGAGAGCCGTGGCTAAACCGGTAGCATCGCTAGTAGATGTACTAATGTGGCGCTATAGTGGCCTGTTTCCTCCTCCTTTCAGACTAGGCTTTCACACAGGGAGGGGGTGCGCTGTGGGAGTAACTTTAATAAAACAGAATAAACATTCAGACATGTTACTAAGGCGGTCTTTGTGTTTCTGTCATCCTCAAAAGTAAATATATTTTATATTAAAAATAGTTAAATGTGCACTAGGTAAGTTTTCTGGATGTGGGCACTCAACCTGTTTGTCTCAAATGAGATATTCCTTTGCCTATAATGTTCAGCAGTATTGGCATTTATGTCACATTTACTCAATTACAGGTCTTTGTAATTGATCGGTATACCTCGCGTTCTTCGGGTCATCTTTCTACAGATGTGTAACTTGGCCTGCTAACGATATCTACTTGTCTCCTTGGTAATACAAGTGTAATGTCATACTCTAGATCATTCCAAACAAACAAGCAAAGCTCAGGTGTTGAGACTTAATTCTTTCAAGATATGATTTTTTTTTTTTTGTCACTGCTGTGATTACATGCACTACACACTCAAAATCAGAGTATAATCAGACTGTTAGAAGATGTTTTAAATGACATGTAAACTGCAAAATCAACTGATTGCTTTCTGAGTACAGTCCCCCTGATTATTCACATTAGACTTGTTTAAAGGTGCACTGCGCAACTCTTCTGGTGGAGTGTCCACTACCTACCTGTCTTCATGGGAATGTGGGTGCGTTGCCTGGAATGCTCCACATGGTATGACCTTAAACATATTAATCTCACATTTATTCATTACAGCTGTTTCTTTTGCTCAAAAATACACAAATTCCTTCCATGAATAGGAGCAACTTCCCATGAATTTGAATTGTAATGTAGCACAGTGCTGTAACCTGCTTGTCTTCCTTGTGATAAGTAAGTTTAGTCTATGCTGTGTAACATTCAAGATTGAAGGCCACCTTCTGATGAGTCTCTTCAGTGTGTTTAAAAGTGTGCCAGAACAGAACAGACCTGGGCTACCTGTCAAACCTGATTGGCCAACACACTGCACTGGGCCTAAAGGTACACATAAACAGGAGAAGCAGCAGACACACGTAGACATACCATAATTACAGTACTAGTAATAGTAGAATTTAAGATACGTCTGTCAGTGCTAATGCTACCGTAATTTGAAATATAAATGGTGAGACTTCACTGAGTATTTGCACAAAAATAATTATTGTTCCTGGTTTACTCTCCCGATAGACTTTGCATTTATTAATCAAAAGTGAAAAGCTGTGAATATTTTAGTGAAAAAAATAACTTTAAAAATCCTGAATACTTTGCTATAGAACATATACCTATGTAATAATGTTTTCAGTGTTTTTAAAGTCACAGCAGATTTGGTTAAAAAGATTCCACAGGAACACCCATTACAATATAATAATCATACACTTTTTTTTTTTTTTTTCTGCCTTCAAATATTTTCCTTGCCTCTGCGTGTGGTTCTTTGTAGTTGTCAATGAGGATTGTTTTGCTTTCTCAACTGGTTCAGAAGTTGCTCAGGACAGTTATTCAATTTCAAAGTGTGAATTAACTTAACTGAAAATAGATTTCTGTCAATTCCTCAAGGCACACTATTGGTACCTGCCACACTAGTTAAAAGTCAATGTTTTATGGTGATAATGGTTCTATCCTATTCTAAGAAATTATGAAATATTGAGTGCTTCTAAATTTAAAGTGGCCTATAGTGTTTCCAAATATGTCTCACCAGTGAACTAGTCATAACTTTAAGACGATCGTAAAATTCACATTGAAGTCAGACATAGGGTTAAGCTCTTTTTTTTTTTTTTTTTTTTTTTTTTTAAACAAGTATCATCATTTGCAGTTATACAGTTTCCAGTGCATTTTTCTCCCTTTAAAACACTGTACCTCCCACCCTGAAACCTCATACAGATGGTATTGATGGTTCAAGGGTGGTACTTAAGAGCAGTCTTATGACCAGTGAGTTCAGCTCCAAGAGTGCACAGACTCCTGGGAGTATGTGAGCACTGGCCAGGCAGTACTTGAAATGGTTTCAAATATTTAAAAAAAAGATGGAATTGAATAGTATTGACTCTAAAGTGTTCTTCATAATATAATTATTATATTAGGCTATTTTCTGATCTACATGTTTAACACACAAACCCTGCATATTTCTTCTCTCAAACTGATAACTTGTGATATTGACATGGTAATATATGAAGTGCTCCTCTGTGTTTTCAAACTTCATACACTTCCACTAGAACAATTTTAATAATTTTAGCCCTGGAATTGCCAATATCTACAGAACTAAAGGCAAAAGGCAGCTGTTAATTTGAAAACCACCACTTCTTGACATCACAAGGTGATTTTGAGCTTTGGAGTTATAGGCAGACTAATGATAAAGGATTATTCAAACATATGTGAATGAAACAAAACACAATTCAAGAGTATGTTTTTGAGAAGACAACAGTCTAATATGGCTTCAAGCTTACAAGAGTAAATTTTGCGTAATATAGGACCTTTAATAATGTTTCTGAAGGATATATTTTGACATAAACATTAAAATTAGAAAATACTAAAGTTAGTGTTATTGGCTATTAAAAAAAAAAAAAAGAGCTAATTTGATTCCACCTATCTTAAGCAATTATAGAATTGTTATACCGCAGCAAAAGCAGTAGAATGCATACAACCTGTCCAATCATTTGTATATTTGTGAACTGGGTGGGCACAATAACTCCCTCCACAACCTTCTGTTGCACAAAAGCATGCACTTGTTGCGTTTACAATTGCCCTGCCGTCTCTTTCCACGTGTTCCAGTCACTTCCACGACTCCGCCCCTTTCTAACTCTCCGCGTTTTCTATTGGCTCACGCATCTATCCATCACTTCCTAACCCCTCCCCATGACCCCGCCTTTTCCCTGACAGCTCCTCCCTGACGTCACTGGTTCCGCCCCAACACGGAAATATGGAGCAGCGACAGGAACGTTATTATTATTAGCGTTATTATAATGGATTTTTACGCAATGATCTCTACTTTTAACTATTGATTTTTTTCCCCTTTACGTACGTTTTTTTAAAGAAGCAGACGTAACTTAAGTGACATATGGAAACGCGTGCGGGACACAGAGCGAAAGTTCGAGCCTTGTTGTTATTAGTTTAGTAGTTTTACGCAGCGTTGGGAAGTCATGGAGACGGGCATTTTGGGTCTCATTAGGGCTCTGGGACGACTCCTTTTGCTTTGGTCGTGGCTGTCATGTAAATATGGAGTGTTTGAAGTAAGTATAACTCACTTTTCCAACGCTTTGTGCCGTTGTTACGTTGGTATTACCAATGTTTATGCGCGCTACGACCCACAAATAGGATCCTTCCGCGCGTGTGTGGCTATTTCGGGTTCCCAGTAATGTTGCCCTGATATTCCGGACAGTAATAGCGAGGACGTGCTAAGCGTAGGGTCTACGTCTGTTTTTCATTGTCATATGACTAGCAAAATTGCCTACAAATATTTTTACCAAATTTGATTTAGCCTAGAATATTTTTTTTAGGTTTCCAAAATAATAATAATAGGCTAAGAATAAGAGTAAATAAATACATAAGTAATTATAAGTAATTATAATTAAGTAATTAAGTAAGTAAATAAAGTTACATGATAAGTACTAGCTTACTAGTTACCCTACTTTTTATTGTACTTTCCACCAATTAAAAATCTTTGATCAAAACACACACAAAAAAAGCTTTTTTTGTCATGTAGTTTATTTTTATTTATTTATTATTTTATCTTAAAAGAGCACTATGTACTTTTCTGGTGGTGGGTCTGCTACTTGCTTGTGTTCATGATATTGCTTTGGCTGTATTCCACAATATGGTATTAAATATATCTATGTAACTATCTTGAAAAACATACATTTTTATTCTGAGCGAGGGCGTCTCTCCGCTGATCTGACCGGTAACATAGCCTGGTGGCATCTCCATAGAGATAAATCCAATGCCACACTGGGGCAAATATCCTCATAAAGCAAGAATACCTTTATGGACACAAGCACATTACGGGCCATGCACCAGAAATGATCCATAGTGCAGCTTTAAAATCAGTGGTCCATTAATAATTAGCTTTATTAATGTCTACATCAGATTGAGTATTAACTTGTTACAAACCCAAGTTAGTGAACATTGAGAAGCAAACTTTTATTATTTTTTTTCTATGTGTACACTGTGCAAATATAGGAGCGGTAGTTACAGTGTCAGTTTGGGGTGTGATAAGGATATCCTGTTAGCAACGTACACAGTAGTTATAATACCCAAAAGTTTAAAGAGCAGAAGGAGGAGGGGCAGGTCTGACACAGTTATAGTGTATATGTCAGGTTAGACTACTTATTTCACAAAAAAACATAGTTAACTTAATTTTTACTACCTGGTTGAACATCGGCAGTAGATGACATTACTTACTTATAGCAACCATACTGTTAACCTGCTCCAAAACCTGTCCAAATTGCACAATAGCTATGATTGAACTGAAGGTATGATTTTGTGAAATTAATGTTAATGCCTTTTTGATGGAGTTACAGTTCTTAAAGGGGTAGAACTCAGAGCCACTGTACTGTCCATTGTTTTTTCATCTAAACTTTTTTCCCCACAAACTATAGCAGGTTTACATCAGTTTAGTATGAAATGTTTGAAAAAAATGCCTAGCACACTCACTTTTATCGTTCATCTGAGTGTGCTATGCATTTTTTCACTTTTATATTGCTGTTCCTTGCATTTGTGCCTCTGCAACAACTTTGGTGTGTGTTTTCTGTTTCATTTGAAGTGTGAAATGTTTACCGCAGATTCTATCCCACCAAACTGAGTAATAATTAGAAAAAAACATGAAAGCCTCAGATGCACTTGAAGTTTACTAGAGTAACCTTTTTTAAAAAAAGGCACTTCTCTGAGTAGTTTTGTAGCACTACCTTTATATCAGAATAATATTATAATAACAATACTTTTAATAGTTGTAGAAGGATTTGTCTCCAGATGTTATTGCTTTGTCTGGTATGTCCCATACCATCTCTAACTTCTATGAAAGATAGATATGGGTCCGGTCAAGCAGTAACGGAGGGAAACAGGGGCAGATCTTTTACATTCAAATAGCTCTTATTCAGAAA